CTATGTGTTAAACTTACTTCCTGCCCAATGGCAGCGCTGTCTCTGAAGCTCTCACCTGACTCCATTGCACTAACTCCCATTATATTTTTGGCCCAAACTTTTCAATAGGATGGAGCGGCTACTTGCTGCGAATCATCAAGCAAGAGAAAAGTTTACAAATGCTGACCTGCATCACTCAACTGTTTTGTTGATTTTGCAAACATATATAAAGCTTAAATTTACAGTTTGCCTATGCATAGATGGCTACTGTGTGCTTTTAGCCCTGATTAAGTGATAGCGTGTAAACAGCACCTCTGAAGGAGAGCCCCCCCCCCCCCCAGAGACATTGTGACTCAGACACACCCTGCACAATGGGCAATAAGGATACTGTGTGGCTTAAGTGACAATGCCTCTCCTGTGTTTCCCTCTTCCTCCTAGAGCAGGGAGTGGGCAAACTTTTTGGCCTGAGGGCCACATCTGGGTATAGAAATTGTATGGAGGGCCATGAATGCTTACAAAATTGGGGTAGGGGTGTAGGAGGGGGTGAGGGAGATGGCTGGAGGGTGCAGACTCTGGGGCGGGGCCAAAAATGAGGAGTTCAGGGTGCAGGAGGGGACTCCGGGCTGGGGCGGGCAGGGTGGAGTGCGGGGGGGGGGGGGGGGGGGGGAAGAGGGCTCCAGCTGGGGGTGCGGGTTCTGGGGTGGGGCTGGGGATGAGGAGTTCGGGGTGTAGGCGGGGTTCGGAGGGCGGAAGGGGGAATCAGGGCTGGGGCAGGGGGTTGGGGCACAAAGGGAGGCTCAGGGGTGCAGGCTCCGGGCGGCGCTTACCTCAAGCAGCTTCCAAAAGCAGTGGCATGTCCCCTCTCCAGTTTTTACGCGGAGGCGCGGCCAGGCAGCTCTGCTGCACGCTGCCCCGTCCGCAGGCACTGTTCCTGCAGCTCCCATTGGCTGCGGTTCCCAGCCAATGGTGCTTGGGGCAGGGGCAGCATGCAGAGTTGAGCTCCCTGGCTGCCCCTACATGTAGGAGCCGGAGTGGGAGCCATGACGCTGCTTCTCAGAGCTGCGCAGAGCAGCCCCCCGACCTTGCTCCCAACTGGAGCGCCGGAGTGGGGCAAGCCCCAGACCCCACTCCGCAGCAGGAGCTCGAGGGCTGGATTAAAATGGCTGGCGGGCTGGATCCAGCCCCGCGGGCCATAGTTTGCCCACCCCTGTCCTACATTGTTTCTTTCCAGTTTGAGGAATGCACTAACCATTGGCCACTAATCAATGAAAAGGCAGTGAGGCAGATAGCCTTTTGCACTGGGTTGAAAACGTGACCCTCACTGATAACTACCTGCTGCAAGTGACTAAATACCATCTGTTAGCTCTTGGGGGAGGTGGGAGGTGCAGGGAATAACTGATTTTTAAAAAAATTAAAATGGATGCAGTTGGGCTCATGTTAAATGTAAGTGAATACCTTGATCACATTCATCCTCTTAGAGACGCAGGTCAAGCTACTTATAACTGCCTATTTTTATACAATATGTTTATGACCTCGTGTGGCAATAGCTGTCTATTAAATAACGGGCTGAAGGAAAGGCGCAGGCAGATTGGTGAAGAGAGGCTCCAAACAAAGACGGGCTTTAACTCGGCCTTTGAAAGCGTTCAGCTCTGTATCTGCACTTTGCCCACCTCTAATGTAGGGTCAGATTATGTCTGGCCTTGCATGGATGCTATAGAGAGAGGAGACGACGCATGGGACATAGGAAATAGCATAGTGGTGAGGCTGGTAGATCATCTAGTACAGTATCCTATTTATGATAATGGCTTGTACCGGATGTTGCAGTGCAAGGTCAAGAAACCCAGTAGCAGACAATGCTAGAATAATCTGCCCATAGGGGACTTTTCTCCCAAATTCTGATTGGTGAGTGTGGTGTCTTATTTCCTTAAAGCATCAGAGTTTAGAGCCTTATTTTTTAATCCAATTGAATGGCCATGTGGATGCTGCAATGATATTATTATGGAAAAGGTGCTACTGTCTTTAACACAGGCTGACACTCCTCCTGAGAGGTCATTCAGGGTATTCTGAGAGGTTAAAGGTAAGGGTATTGTGCCGATGAAGGTCTGCGTTCTTTTGTATGCCTCCCAAATGCATTTCTTTTTCAAGCCTTCCCAGGCCCAATCCAGCAAAGCATTTAAGCACCAATGCAGCCCCACTGAAGGCAATAGGACGTTTCACATGCTTAAGTACTTTGCCTCACTCATCGTTATATGGGTGAGTTTGGGTATGCACAGAGTTATATCAGCATCTCCCCCTGTTAATTCTTATGGATGGTGAGCCACAATGCACCCTGATCACCTCCGGAGGCTGCACCGTAGACGAAGTAGCTTGCTGGCTCCAGCATTACAGTTTGGAAATAGACTTGGGAATGTTTCACTGCAACGGGCTTGCTGTACTCAAGCAAATGAGCCTGACTTTCACCCTCACTGACTGAGCCCATTCATCATATCGTTTTCCACTCAAATGCCATGTAACATGCACAATGTAATCAATTCTAGGCTCCTACACAGCAAGAGGAGTCAAGTTTTCCTTCACCAGATGATGGAAGCAAAGAAACCCAAATAATAATTCACAATGCCCCATCTACACATGCTCACACCCACTGCTCCATTAATTCTCAAATAGAAATTAGACATGGGTCTGAACCAAAACTTCATACGGGCCCACACTTGACATTTGGTGAAGTCGGCAACAGCTCCTAACTTCGCAGCTAGGGTAAAATGCACCTTCATTTGCACACCATGCTCATTCAGCCAATTGCTAATTCATCATCGCTTTTTTCCTCCATCAGTCTCTTAGGGCTGAATTCTGTCACCCTCACGTTGACTTAGTGCCTCACTTCAGAGGTAGTGCTAGCATGATTAATGGAACTACTCATGCAGCAAAGTACTATTACTCAACATAAGGGTGGCAGAATATGACCCTCCTCCAGAGGGTGGCTAGAATTTGCATAGATTATAAAGCCAGAGAGACCATTGTGATCATCTAGGCTAACCTCCTGTATAACACTGGCAATAGGACTTCCCTAAACAAATTCCTTCTACAAGTGACCTTTCTATGAGGTGCTAACAGAAGCAACAGTAGCTCGGTTTAAATATCATGGGGCTCCTCTTAAAACTAACACGCACCATTGGCTTCAGCATCCAACCAGAAACTTGGGAAAACTAAATATTTTACCTTGGAACCCCTGAACATCATTGCCACTGCTATAATCACATCCACATCATCTTTCACAATGCTATCATCATTTACTGTGGAGGAAGGGCATTTAGAACCCTTGAGCAGAGTCGACACCACCAAGGATTCCTTCCTTCCTACGAAGTAGAACCCCTTTCCACTTCTTCTCTCCAGCTCATGGCCACATGCTGCTGCCGCTTCACAGGGGTACATAATTGAGGTTGTGGTTTTGGTGAGCCCCTCACTCAGGGTGTATTAAGTACAGTTTAGCTACCTTTTAATCACACAATAAGAGGAACATTTCATTACCCCGACATCCAAAACTGAAATGAATAACCAAAAATTGTTCAAAGGAACACACTGGCATAGTGAATGCCACTGAAGTACGCTCATACTAGCTCTGCTCCCGGGTCATGAGATGATGGCAGCAGAGAGCACCTTCCTCTCCCACTGTAAGACTACCCTTATAAGGTTGTTACTGAACTCTGTAGAAATTCATTCCGTGAGATCATAGTCTCATTTCTTCACTTTTTATGCATATTGTTGCTATTTCACTTCATATAATTTTCCAAGTCACACTACACACAATACTTTGCACATCTCCCTCATTTCATAGAATATTAGACCCTTTAATTATTATTATTACAAACAGGGGAGAAAAACCTCCATAATTGTACAAGGCACCAGATTAACACAAAACTTCTTCCACAGAAATTGAGCCTTGTTCTCATATCAGCAGTGTAGGCTCCCTTTACTAGACGGACCTCTGAACGTTGTTGGCAGTGTTCCAGTTGGGAAGATCCTGTGTGCTGCAATTTAGCCTTAGAGACCACAACTCCCATGATGCCTTGGGGAAAGAGTGAGACACTTCCTCTTCCAGGGAGTGGAGGGAGAGAGGTGGTGGATGCCATTTTGGGGAAAGGAGCAAGATTGCTGGTGTGGGGTTCTGTCCATACCAGGAGCTGCTGCTAGGAAGCCAGGAGGTGCTGCTGAGAGCCTGCAGGGGCTTTGACTTAGACACATGCCACTGATTATTATTAGAATAGGTTTATTCCTGGAGGTTCCCAAGGCATGCCATTGAGTGTGTACAGGGGCCAGTAGGTGGAGGCACTGCTAAATTTAAATTCCTTTAGGAGTAAAGGGACTGCAGCAAAGGGGTGGATAGAGGATTCCCACCTATTCAACATCACCACTGGGATACTCAGGATGTCCTTTAATGTCAACAACATCAGGCACCCAGGCACATAGGTGAGTGTTGCCTGCTCCCGAGTCACCCAGGGAGGAATGGGGGGGTTACACCAGTATTTGACTAGTGTTGGTGATAATTCTGCTAATTGAGATTGATGGCAGCTTCATTCTTCAAATGTATACTGTTTGCCTGAGAGCAGCAGGAAGGAAAATAGCATATTGTAAATTATGCAAACCCAATATACACATCTCAGTATTTACATTCTGATACTGCATCGGTTTTATTACAAACAGCAGTACAAGAAACTAACTGACCCTTGTACTGATGCGAGAAAGCTTCCTGTAGTTAGCCAGTTAATGCTGTATATGCAAAGGAAAGCATGTCAATAATAAAATACGCATATGCATAGAGAGACTTCAAAGAGAGACATTGATCCTGACTGGAATCTCAGTTACATTGGTATAAATCAGAAGTAATTTTGTTGAAATCACTCGAGTCAGAATGCTGTAAGATGAGTATAAGTGAGATCAGACTCAGGTACACTTTGAGGAAGTTTTTGTGACTATTACCCACGATAATAACAGACTTTATGGCAAGTCAGTGGAGCTATGACAATTTATACCAGCTGTGGATCCGCCCCTCTATCATGCATTTTTTTGTGATCACTTAGCGCATTTGTGGTTGTGATTTGGCTTTGATTTGATCTAGACGTCAGAGATTTAAAAGGGTGTAACAGAGAAGAAGCTTCCTGAAATTCCTTGGCTACAAAGTAATAACAAAGCGTATCCAAACAGCAGTTCGAGTTTGCTACCCATGCAGCCACACGAATAAAAAGGCTTGCATTGCGGCGTAAAGAGCAGGCAGCTCCAGCTGCGTCCATTGCATACCTAACAAGTAGCCCGACGTTAAAAGGTAAAAAGCATATGATAAATACACTCAGGTTCATAGAAACAATCCAGAGAGCCTTCTGGATTGATGTTTCTTCAGGTGGACTCATGTTCTTCTTCATCTTCAGACACCGGATGACTTGAATAGAACAAAAACTCAGTATTACTAGTGGTATAAAAAAACCCAAAATACTTGACAACAGTATAGTTTCTGCAGGGTCATCAGAAGTTTTCCGAAAGCAAATGTTTGCACTTTCCTTAGTAAATCGTGGGTTGAAGTATGCATAAATTATTATTATTATCCAAAGAAATCCGCAGCTAACAGCTGCCTTCAGTGGGGACCTGAAATTCTTTGCTTTCAGGGGGTACTTTATTGCAATGAATCGGTCGACGGCTATAAGGGTGATGATATAAATGCTTACGGGCATGTTTGTAAAATATATAGTCTGTATGACATAGCACAGTTTATCTATGGGATGTCTAGTCCTGTGAAAATGCACAATGAAAGGCAAGGTGAAGAGGAGAAAACAGTCTGCAATGACCAAGTTGATCATGTAAACTCTGGTTTCTGTCCATTTTTTCAGCTTGCAGCAGAATACCCAGAAGGCAATGATATTAAATATAACTCCAAAAAAGATAATTGGGATGTAAATAATCAGTTGTAAAAGGTTAAGTTTTTCTTGCACTGCTGTGACGGTGAGGTTGCTGCAGTTCATCCTAAGTAGTTACTGCAATGGAAGAATTATGAGCTATGAAATACAACAGAACACACTGGTGATTAATTTACAACTTATTTATTCTTCTAATATTCACATTTAGTGGTCCAGAGGTTTCCTCTGGTGTTCCCAGCCCCCTGGCACTACAGTGCAGTGATTCCACCTTCTACTGTTTCATACAAAATCATATTGCAAAGGTTTTTTCATTTCCCAAGGACCAAAAATGCAAGAAGTTTATCTAAACAGTATCTGAACTTCCAAAGGTATTGGGTACTCAACTCCAAGTGGCATAAATATACAACCCTCTCACCCTACTCTCTTTGAGAATTTCATACAACCCTTTCTTCTGAACTCGTGAAACTCTCAATAGACCCACACAGCCCCTCTTTTTTCCTGTCTTCAACAATATGCCTCTTCACACCCAATCTCTTGGTGACATCCAGTCAGCCAATATCCTATCCCTAAGCAGCAGTTTGTGAATGACCAACCCACTTCTCTATACTTTTAGGCCCAGATCCTCACTGGTATTTAGTTTCCTAAGCCCACCATTTAGGTGCCACTGACATTTTCAAAACCACTGTTCAATTACCATCTAACCTTGTAGGGGCCTAAATCCCTTAGATATCTAAGTTTCTGCCACAAAGCTGCCTCAGCCCTGACACCAATGCACAGCTAACATGCTGCTTGGAGGCCTTGAAGCAGGATGTTCAAACTAGGTAGGGGAACATGCTGTCTTGTCAGCAGGGCCCAATCCTGTAGATGTGCTCTGAGCATGCTTGAGCCTGGATACCTGGCAGACCCTTCAGGAGGGGGGCCAGAGATGCAGACTACCAATAGGTGTGTGGGCAGGCGGGGGTGGAGGGCAGCACAGCAATCACACAAAACAACAGCTGGGGGCACAGGGAAATGTAGGTTGAGTGTGAGAGAGGTAATGAGCATTACCAGGAGGCAGAGAGTGAGAGAGACAGTTTCAGCTGCTAGGGCATGGGTTACTGAAGAGGCTGACCTGACGTAGGTGCCTAACTCCAGATGAGCATCTGTGGCTGAGGATCCTGAGTGGCAAGAGATGCCTATCTCTGGCTTGTCAGGCAGGTGCACCATGTCAGCCGCTTAGGCCCCTCTTCCTGTCCCTTTCCTCAGCATTTCACTCCTGGCTGCCTTCTAGGCAGCTCCATGCTCAGCTTGCTGGCTTCTAAGGATCCCTTTCTTAGGTGCCTAGCTCTGCTGCCCAGACATTGTCTGGACAGCCTGAACACCTAGCTTGGGGCTGAGGATTCCACTAGGCAGTAGGCCACCTAGGGGTTATGTGTTGCAATGCTGAGAGGAGCAATGCCTTAATTCCTTTGAGGATCTGGCCCTTAATACTTCCTGCATCATACAGCTGTGACTGGAGAACCCCAGCGTGCACAAAAATGGAATGGAGAAGTTCGTTGTAGTGGTCCTAGCACAGAGAAGCGATGTCCTCTGGCCCTTCCAAGGGATTACACATCTGTGTGGGTGTTTCAGACCAACAGTGGGATAGTGCAGAGGGCAGGTCATAGAGAAGAAGAGTGATGGAGCGATCCAGAGAGAATTAGTAATTTAGATTGCAGTCAAGTCAACTGTATTGCTACAGTATTTATGTGATACCAGCACCCCAAAGCCAGTGCTTTGTATCATGGCCTATAAAAATTAAGGACCAAATCTCCTTACAGTTTTCATTCATTTTCCGGGTAAAACTCCTAACTACAATCAATGGGTTTGATTCTCAGTTATGCTGAGGCTCCGTTACAGTATTCTGGCAGTGTAAAGGGCCTTAATACTAATGCAAATGTAATTTGGTGCCCACCTTGAGCCCCTTTACACTGCCAGAGTGGTACAAAGGGGCCTTGGTGTAAATGAGACTCAGGCTCAAGTATTTTTCTACTTAGGTATCTGGGGAAAGCGGAGATGAGCATGTCATTATCTGTACCCCAATAAATCATTAAAAAAAAAACCCAGAAAAAATGCAACAATCTGCACTGTGTTAGCCAGATCCTTGGTATGATCCAATAAATCTCTCTGCCTTTCATATACACACTGCTCATAGTGGTGGTGGTGTGAAATTTGGAATAGCCCCCTCTTCAGAAAAATAGACTGAGAGCAGACAACAAGCAATTGCCTTGAGGAAACAGGAGAGAAACTATGTAGTGCAGTTCCCACCCCGGCGAGGGGATAGGGTCTCAGAGCCTGAACTCTAGCCTGAGTGGGAATATCTACACTCCTCTTTTTAGCCCTGCAGCCCAAGCCCTGCAAGCCCAAGGTAATTGACCTGGGTTCTGAGACTTGGCGTGGTGGGTCTTCTGTTGCACTTAAGACATAACCTAAGATCACTACAATTATCCATTGGAAGTCAGTAAGAACTTAATTTTGCCTGAGCAGATGTTGAGTAAAGACATTGGGATGTGGTCCTAAGTGTTCAAGGACCAGCTTCTGCCACCCGTACTCACATCAAGGGGTACCTGACCCGGGGCATACTTCTCTTCAGTGGGAGTATGCATGGAGTAAAGGACTACTCAGTGTGAGGGGGGCATAATCTTGCCCTATCTGAGTACACTTGCTAAGGGGTGGATTGTACAACCCTCGCACACTGTGGTGAGCATTTTCATTGACCTAAGTGGCATTCCTCAGCTAAGTGCTCACTGATGAATAATTGTGATGATTACTCAATCTAGCCCCTATGTGACTTGGTAAAGAAAAGCAAACTGTTCAGTAAACATTACTATAAATGGTGGATGAAACTGAATTTAAAAAGAAAGAGAAAAAATTACAGAAAAAGAACTTGAATGCTAACAGAAAATAATCTCTCTTGTGATTTGAACCTTCCATAACAAGGAACATGACATAGGAGAAATTCCAGTCTGAGAATTAGAATAGTTTATTGTTGTCTTTAAAATTATTATCTTAATTGCTATGCCAGCTAGGTATGCTAGCTCATATCGGACTCAATTTGTGGTCCATTAGAGAGTAATTTAGGGAAAGAAAGATATCTGCCTTCCGTGTATTAGTCTATACACATTACTTTAAAGTTAACAGCTGTTAAGCATTAATAATTAAGCCACCTGACCACAGCAGTTAGAGCAAAGCAATTTTTAGTGGCCAAGATTTAGGGCCGGAACCAACACGCACCGAAGTCAGTCCAGAGATTCCCCTTGGCTTCAGAACCATTGTTGGACCAGGCATTGCATAAGGCTAATACATCAGTTTGTCGTCAACATTTACAATCCCAAATCTCAACTGTTAATGCTATTCCTAAAATTAGCATTTTTAGTATTTTAGGATGGGATTTTCAAAAGAGCCAAAGGAAATCAGGTGTCTTACTTCCACTGGAAGACAATCAGTTGTGTGTGCCTAACTCCCTTTGGCTCTTTTGAAAATCCCAGACTGCATTATTATTGTTCATTATTTTCACTAGAGTAGCACTGAGAAATCACAGCCCCATAATGTTAGGCACTGACTAGCCCCACAATGAAAAGAGGATCCCTATCCCCAGTGAACTAACAATCTCTGCCTCCATTTCTCCATCTATAAAATAGGGGTAGTCACCCTTACTCATCTCACTGGGTGTTGCAAGTTTAAACTAATTTATGGTTTTAAAATGCTTTAAAATCCCAATTCAGAAGAGGCTATAGAAGTGCAAAGTATCACATACTTATGATCAATAATGAGAATGATGTGTTTTGTCTCAGTACAAAACAGCAAATATAACCTAAAACAGAGTGATTCAGTGCATGGGAGAACAAGTGCACAGAAGGTAACAAAAGTTAGAGTAAAAGTAGGTTGAGACAAGACCCTCAGAAAGACAGCGCATTTGAAAAAGTGCCATCAACGATATATGAAAGTAGAATTTTAAAGTGCTGACCTAACTGCTGATTAATAGACATTTTAACCTTGAAAATAAAAATGAGTAACCTGCTTACTAATAATTGAGAAACCTCATTGTGGCCCAAATCTACATTCACTAGTGAAAATTGCATAAGAATGATGATGAAAGAATTAAAAGTTACCTGCTCCTTTGTAGCTCACTGTACAATTAATTAACTCCACAAGAAAAGCTTTGGTTCAGCACAGATTAGCTTACCTGAATGCTATGGAGTACATTTAATAGACTCAGATTCTGTTCCACTTGATGCTGCTTATTGTTCAGGGCACAAGCCCAATGATTCTTTCATCACCAGTTCCGAAGTAAAAGGACACAATGCCCAAATCTCCTCTTGTTCCTCCAGACAGACTGGTATGTTTCATCATGAAGCTTCCTTTTTAGTGACAGATGTTTCTCTGGTGCCTCCTACTGATTCCATTACATCAGTTCAACCCTCTGCAGTATGGTTTTCCCCCAGCAAGGAACTGATACTGAATATTCACAGTCATCAACTCAAAGGGAAGTTTACTAATTTGTGGAAGGAAAACTATAATGTTTTGCAGCAACAGCAAGTCCTACACTGACAGCAGTGGAAAACAAAACCTTTTATTTAGCCACAGAACAAGCAGGCGGTCAGCAAGCAGTTCAATGCCTACTAACATTCCTGAGCTGGATTATTATTGGCTGGGTACTTCAGAAACCCAGAAGCAAGGGCAGCAGAACGAGGTTGCACACGGGGGAAGCAATGTCCTGTTTATCCCTGGTCTGGCTGTTGTCAGTAAGGGTGTCTGTGATGGGGCGCACAACTCACCACTAGTCTGGTGCCTCCTCCTGGCTGCTCTGGGGATTAGCTCATCAGATCGACGCTCATTCCCGCTGTTGCATGCTGCCACTCTGTCTCTTTCTGGTCTGCAGCCCCTCTTTCATTCCAGGAACCGCTACGCTCTCTTCAGGACCTTGCAGCCGGGTTACTCAGTGTTCCCCCCTTCCAGGGTATATCAAAGTCTTTCCTTCAGCAGTCCTAGGCAGGCTTCCCATTCACTGGCTCAGGTGCCACTCCTCCAGTGGCTGGTAGGGGAACCCAGGCCCACCCTTTACTCCGGGGTCCAGTTCAAGGACT